CTCAGAGAAAGCCGAATGCGAAAACAAGAAGCAGAGCTCGAAACGAGTAGAATGATTTCCCCCTCGGTGGCCAACTGCTACTTATAGTCGAAAGAGGGAAACTGAAGGGTTAAAGGTACATAGGGAAACGCAACCGTCAGAGCTTTTCGGGGCTTTTCAAATTTCAAAAACCGCCACCTAAAGAGAGCAACTAAGGCATGCCACGTGGACACCTATCAATCATCGCACTGTAGCCGCCGACGACACACGTGCCGCACAGCGTCTGGGGGGCATGGCATACCCGCGAAGAGAAAAATCGCACCAAACACAAGAGCTACGCGCAACCACACAGGGACAACACAAACCACATGCGTCACGCGCAGTCATACCGAGACAACTCAAGCTTATCGCGCGCAGTAGCATCGCGCGAGCAACGCCGACCCGAGCCAACCTCGCAAAAGATCAAATAGGCGGCATTCAAAGAATACCACCTGATGGGGGGCAATTGTTGGGGTGCGGCTCGGGTTTACTCGCGTCAGCATAACAACACGGAGTCATCACAGAAGAGCCAGACGCGCCAGTGGCAACGCGCCTATACCTCCACCCGCGCGAGAGTATCGCGCCAAGACACCGAACGATGACGTCTCAGTCGAGCGTTGACTAAGCCAAGGGAGGCCACAAACAACGCCGCATCCATCAGAGAGCAGTCATGTCACGGTCCAATCATGGTCCTAGGGGTCATCATGAGTGAGTCCCCCTAGTCCTAGGTAGAAGTATGGCCTAAAGACTGACATGTCAGCAGTCATGTCACCTTTGTAAACTCACCAACCACCTTGTAGCCTATAAATACGGCATTTACTCTGGTGGGTGAGGGGATCGCATTTTTCACTCTCTCACTCTACTACTACGAACTTTATCTCTCTAAAAGCTCTGGTGTCTCAAACCTTTCTATTGTTTACTCTTCTCACCCTCCTTTCTCACGAGTCTACCTCCTACTCTCAGTTAGACTCAAACAGTATCTTTTTAAATTAGAAACATATAATAGCAGAGAGGAAAAAACTTTTCCCCCATTTCAAATTCCTTGCACCATGAGCGTTTGTAGGAAGGGTAGAATAGGGAGTGTCAATTTTTTTTCTTTTTCCTTTGTGGAACGGGTCAACTTATTGTACACATGTGAATTTAAACGGGTCTAGGAGTGTCAATTTTTCTTTAAGCACTTTTATTTCTCCGTGGTGATACAATATATATGAAAAGGAAAAAACAATACTCATTTTTATTGCTAAAAAGAAAAAAATTAACTTTAAACTAATGTATGGATTCTAATGGGCTAACCGCTAACCATAAAATAAAAGAGTTGAATGGGTCTGACCTACACGGGATTTGGGCATCAAGTAAGACAAATGAACATCATGGGTTTGCCATTCTAAAACAAGCTATTTTCTCTAGCATAATATATATTATGCTATTATTTTATATCTTAGTGGCTAAAATATAATGTATTTTAAAATTATTCAATGGTTCAACCTCGACCAACCCATTAGTCCAATTTTTATCATTTCAAATATATATTATGTAATTATTTGATATCATAATGATTAAATTATAGTGTATCTTATAGGGAATCGTTTGGTATTTGTTAGTAAAAAACTAAACAGAAAGATCTATTTGGTTATTTTTAACATTAAAACGATCCTAAACATTTTCAGTTTCCTTTCGAATTAGTTTTATTCGTGAATCAGTAATGTGCAAATGGCGAATTGCAGTCATCTCTTTTCTTTCACTATTTTTTATTTTTCAAATAGAAAGTTTAAAAGTAAAGAAGAATTAGAGTTTGGCATGGGTCGGTCAAACATGCTGAATTTCAAGTTTTGGCCCATTTTGATCAAGTCTAATTTATAATTACATGGTTCCCTTATACCCGATAAAAATCTCAATCCAAACCAGTTTGGCAGGTGAGTCCGTGTTTACCACCTTTTTCTAGGGATACAGGAACGACAATTCCTATCCCAAATCGTGTTGTTCATTCTTGATTTCTTTAGATTTTATCATGGCCTGACAAAAACCAGAAAGCACAATGACGACAAGATGAAAGTTTTATAAAGTAAATTAATCGGCCAACGGGCCGAGTAAAAGCTAGCAACGATTGTGAGATGCTCATTTCCCGAAAACCGGCGGGATAACCGATTTATTATTCCATTTTCTGGAATTTGGTTTTTATCAAACTTACTCCACCTCATCATATTACCAGAAATAATATTGTTTCACAAGGTAACAGGTACTTGATTTTCGTTCATAAGGTTGATTTTTTATTCGTTGCATCATTGATGTCTATTTCCTACTAAAATTTACTATTTTTATCACGGGTTTCCAAAAAAAAAAACTATACAACAATAAGATATACACCCCCATTACATTATCAAATTCCATACCTCACCTTCCTCCGGCCAACTGGTCGGGGCCACGCTAGTAATATAATATAGCAAATTAACAATAAGGCGTTAGTACAAATTAGATTCGATGTGGACAACCGAAAATAGATTAGCAAAATTTGTAAGAGGTCAATGTTCGATTGGAGGGGTAAAAATAAACGAAGAGTGTATTTTGTGTAAAATATTCTTAAAGTAAATTATGATGTGACACCTATGTATCAAGTGAGGGTGAGTTGTCGTTGATGTGTGTATCAATTTGGTAGCCTAGTCAGCATTCTGTTAACCTAACTGACGGAATCTCTAACACTGTTAAAGTTTGTTACGGAAATGGTTAGGTTTGTCAAACAATCATCACTGACTATTTCGTGTATTTCAAAAGTTGTGACTTTAACTATTACAAACATGAAAGTTATGCCTATAAAAGTGTATTTTGCCTTCATTTATATTTTATTTGAACCACGGAGGCCACCTGTCCAATTTTCGGAGGAGATGAAGAGACGACCATGCACGTCATACGTGATTGCCCCTATGCTCGTGCTGCATGGGCGGAATTTTTACAGGAGGAGCCTGATGAAATTTTCTTCCAAAATGACTTGAGCAGATGGATCTTACACTATCTTGCTGGCCGCAGCTCAAATGTGACGCCGACCAGGTTTGCGGTGATGTGCTGGACACTTTGGAAGAATAGGAACAAACTGGTATTTGAAAAGGAGCTGGAGTTGACAAACACACTAACCTGCAGAGTGGTGACTGTGGAAAAGCAAATTGAGGAGGCGGAGGCAAAGGCTGCGCGGATCTTCACGGGAAGTCAAGCTACCACTCGGCAGCTAATTGCTTGGAAGCCTCCCCCGCCAGGTTGGGTATGCCTCAATACAGAGTGATCAGTGGTAAGTGGAAACGTTGCAGCGGGAGGGGTTATCATAAGGGAAGACAGTCACATGCTGAGAGCTTTCTCGAGGAACTTGGGAGAAGGATCAATTACTAAGGCAAAGTTGGCAGGTATTGTTTTTGGATTGCAAGCAGCTTGGGAAATGGGACTTCAACAGGTACAAGTCCAAACCGACTCCCCTCTGCTATTCAACTCATTGAAAGCGCAGGGGAGCGGCACCCTCATTTGGCTCTAGTCTTTGAAGTGCGTAGGCTACAAGCTCTCGATTGGCAGGTGGAAGTTATTCATGTGTACCGGGAAGGGAATGTCGTTGCAGACTACCTCGCTTCTCTTGGACATGAACGTTCGCCTGGGGATCATTTTGTGGATGCCCCTAGTCCTCTTTTAAACTATTGGTTGTACTTTGACTGTATTGAAGTTCTCACTCCTCGTTTAGTAAGCAATGAATGAAGGTTGGGGTGCCCTTAGTGCCCGTTTCCAAAAAGAAAAATTGATAAGTAAATTTAGTCAAAATTGCCACTAATAGTAAATAAAAAAAATGGCCACTAATAGAAAGCCCATGAGCTTAACCAAATGGACAAGGATTATGCATTGATGGGCCAATTGAGAGTAACAGGCCCATGCTTTGTGGATAATTAACATAACAGAAGGTCAATACCTAGTTGCCTACGAGGCTACGACCTCAATAAATCACGCTCTTGTTACAAGCATATCAGAGCGCAATGTAATTATTACTAATAGCCTCCCACTCTTTTTCATAGATAATTTCAAAAAGGACAGCAGGATACGAGTTCATGATATTTTCGGTACAATCAAATAACTGAAAAGAGTAAAGAATGTTGGTCTATTAATAATTAATTTAACGATAAGAGAGTTTTTTTATCGATTTGGACGACCTTATTCTACCAACGGGAAAAGAAATGAAAAGTAACACACTAAAACGAGAGATTTCAACACTTAGAATTCTTTCAAATGGCACCACCAAAACGTGGGGAAAAAATCTAGTTCATGACTTGGAATGATAATATGAAGATCTTAATTTATGAACCAGTACTTAATAATTTATATTTCATGTGATTATGAGAGAGTTAGATTTTTCATAAGCGATGGTCATTTTGGTAATATACAAAAAAAATAAAGAATGTCAAAAATATTTTATATGAAAAATACTATATCTAATATTAATGTATGAAACACTTGATCATATGATTTTTTGATTATATACACTATTTTAATTAACAACGTTTTGACAAACTCATTTCCCTTTTCAAATATATATGAAATATTTTTTAAAGTTTAGTGTTTAGTTTATCATCAGCATGTTCGACCTGTCTTAACCCGTACTCAAGTCATTTAACGTAACTTGACATGCGTCCTCCTTGGCTCTAGATATAGTGATATCCGATCCCCAAACCCTACCCCAGTGGTGGAGCTACGTTGAAGTTGGGAGGGGCTGTGGCCCCCCTCGATTTTGAAAGTAGGTAAAATTACAAGTAAATTTTGTCTAAATGAATTATAATAGTCAGTAAGGCTTGATTGATCGATGGGCGGGGTAATCTCGTGAATAACGTGACTAGCCTAACCTAAAATAACCTAAAACCTGTTTACTCGAGAAAACCAAATACCACCGTCGGTGCCGAATTCGTTTCCGGCGATGTTGATTTGATGTTTCGCGGTGGAAACTCTTGCGGTGCCGTTTGATCGAATGCACCGCTGATTGCTGAAATCGAGACGACCGTCAAATATCCGCCGCCGAATGTCGGCGCCGTTGATTTGATCGATGCACCTCTGAATGATGAAATCAACGTGACCGTCAAATATCCACCGCCGGGCAGTGTTGATTTGATCGATGCACCTCTGACTTCTAACCAAGAACGACCGTTACTATGGTTCGCACCTCTCCAAACTACGTTCGAACGAGGGTGTTTGAGTTTTGGGGAATCTATGTTAGATCTACTCCTATGGAGATTCCCGTGGAGAGCTCCGCGACTACGACTACTTCTACCAACTATGGAGATCCTTCCTGGAAGGAGAGCTCCGCGAAGGAGTTACAGAGAAAAAAAAGGTAAAGTTTGACAGATTTGTTTTTGTGTTGATTTGGTTGTCCCCCTCTCTCCTTGCTCCACTGCTTTTATTCGAAAAACATCTTCGTAGTCTTCACGCTCGGTGAAACCGCTTTCTCAACTGCTCCGTTGTGAACTCCCACGTGTCTCAACCGTGTTGATCTCCTCCTCGCTCTGGTTGGCGTGAATCTCACGCGATGTCGTTTTATTCCCCAAACAGCTTTGTCTACTTTTTTCTCCGCGACATTGTTTTATATTAAACACTGTCGTTTTATACTCCGTGGTGTTGTTTTCTCTCGCGACGTCATTTTAGTCAAACAACACCGTCTAAAATAATCATTAAACAGATTAATTAATTAAACCGGCTCATTATTGCCACGCGGTCAAATTCTCATCCCTTGGCGCCGTTTAATCTTTCCGCGACATCGCTTTTCACTGATCGATGTCGACCTTGAACTGCTCCGTCCTGGTCCCATCAAACAATGTCTTTTTTCATTCCGCGACATTGTTCTCTACCAAACGGTACCGTTTTCTCGTCTTGCGGTGCCGTTGGGCTTGGCGCGCGGCCCTCACCAAAAATCCTACCATATATGGTTTTTTTTATTTATTTAATCGGCACCGCTTATCAAGGCCTCCTGCAGCATCATTTTTACTTCCGCGGTACCGTTTTAATTCTTCGCGATGCCGCTTGTCTCCACGCGGTACCGCTTCTCCCCTTCCGACAAGGAGTAAAAATAAAAAAATAATAACTCCTTTTCCAACTCCAATACTACGCGCGCGGCCCACCTCTTATTTTCCGGTAATCAGTGTCGTTTCCAGTGCCACGATACCGCTGAGCTTCCTTGCGGTACTGTTTTTCTGTTTCGCGGTATCGTTTTACCCATCTGCGACGCCGCTTGTCTCTACGCGGTGTCGTTTCACTCTCCTTCTCCGATAAGGAATAAAAACACACTCCTTTCCCAAACACAACACCAATCTTGCGGCCCATGTCTCACAACAATTGTTTTCTAGTAAACAATGTCGTTTCAAGTACCGCGATGTCGGCGAGCTTCCTTGCGGTGTCGTTTACACTCTCCGCGACATTGCTCGATTCCAAACGACATCGTTTTGTATCATGCGGCATCGAACTAAATGTCGAGACTCATTAATACGGTATTTAACTAATTCAAATTAATTTTAGGTGTAAACAATGCCCCCCACAACTTGGTTTATAAGAATTTATGAACCAAGTTGTTGACACAACTCAAATCATCTAAAATTACTTAAATAATTAAATCAACTTTGCCCTAGAAAATTCATGAATCACGTCTAGGCAAGGATGCTTAGATTAGGAAAACTATTAAATGGGGCCTTGTAATTCTTTTGCCTTTGCGTCGCTGGATCCGCAACATTGATTTTTTTTTTTACCTGGCCAAATTACCACCACAAAGAACATGGTTGTTGCCAAACAGAGTTGCGGTGAGAATAGTATTCTCCACGTCTCCGTTTTTCTTTTCAACCAATACTGGTCTGCTCCGCAGACTCATGCAAGAAGGAAAATTAGTATAAAATTTTCACTCTTTCACGACTTGCAATGCTGCGAATATTACCTTGGCCACTTTTCTACAATGCCGCGGCAAGTCATAAGCAACACTGTTTGGCCAAAACCTTTTATTAACATTTTTTTTATTGTTTTTATTTTCCAACGTCATTGCGGCCAGTCCCGCAGCATTGTTTTTGGAGGAAACTATTCCACCCCTAGGAAAGCAGCGCTGCAACGCCCATCAATCATTCTATTTGGGCCAAACTGATTTCCCACGAGATTGTGCGGCCAACACCACTGCTTTGCCGAAACCACTAGTGTTTTGATTATTATTTTTTTATAATATATTACTCGGCCTAACTTGGCCACATTATTTATTAATAGCGAAATTAAAAACAAGTTAGACTTTGGCATAAATCATCATGCCAAATATCCACACCCACTGCCAACTCCACATATCAAACCAAACAAGCCATCTGTGAACAATATGACTTGTCACAGCTGGCTTTACACGCGACTGAAAAATTTTGAAGTCACAGTTGGATCTAGTTCGAACATCCTTGTTCGAGACTCCACGATCTCGATTTGGCCTCAACTCAGGTTTGGGCCAATGAGAACTACATGTATTATTTTCTCTAGGTAGGGAACCCACGTCTTTTGGCGCCTTTGTCTTGCCAATTCGACCATGCGACATTGCTTGCCCAGACTGGTCTTGTTTTGTCAGCTGCACACACTCACCATGTCGTTGTGGGTATGAGCACCGATGCTTATGAGCTTCACTGACAAGTGTGTGGGTGCTTTGTTTACCACGACACTTACCACACAACCACATCGTTTCTTTTGAGCTCCCGCGTGATTTTGGAGTTTGTAGAGCATTATACTTGCCCCCCAATCCACCATTCATAGCAGACTTGTTCCTCCTCGACACTTGTGTGACAACTCCATGTCGGGGTTGATTGAACTTGCCCCCATTTTCACTAGGTGGAGTCTTTGGGGACAACTTACATGGAGGATTCTGTTGATTCATACCAACCCTTGCGGGATTGGTTTTTTCCACGTGGCTACCACCCCCACACTGCAAAGTTTTTGCGGCCATCCTTGTTTGAATTTTCCTAGAATAGGACAGATTTGGCAAACTTATTTGCCACTTGCGATGTTGTTTTTCCCGACCATGCGGTGGGATCTCATGCCCCCCTAGCGGCTTAGATTGAACACCATTGCAATTGCTTGGACAACCCATCATACGTGAGCTTCCTATGCTCAACGTGACTGTAACCGCGTTCTCGACCCTGGTTCTTGTTTTCACTCTTACTAGAAGTAAGTCGATACTGACTTCTTCGTAGTGGCTTCTGCAAGCCAATTCCAAATGGTGTGTCCTTTAGAACAACGTTGTTCACAGGAAAGAACACATTGGATTTACTCACTTCTGGCAACAATGTTGTAGCCATCGATAAGGGATTTTGGTTGACATTAGCTATTCGACCAACCATCGCATCCTCACACACAACATACATGGTTCGAGATTTAAACACATCAAAATCATACGTGGCTCCACGTATTGACATATTAAAATCAGAAACAGAGTCGTCCAACTTATCAAACCATTGATCTATGTTTTTTTAAAGATTATCCATTTTTTTATTAAGAGAAGTTAAAATGAGATTTACCTGTTGGCTATCTCTGCTGAGTTCAACCACTACTTGGCGGAGTATGCGCAACATCTCACCCCGATCGGAGATTCGTGTCACTGATTGCACCTCCGCTCCAGCGTTGTTGCTTGAATCGCCAACATCGTCGTCAATCTCCATGTTGATCAATTGAGCCTCCGCCATGGATCCTTGTCGAAGACCACAATCTTCTTTTCCTCGTCGCAGAGCCATGTCAAACACACGTGTCCCACCGGGTGTGCCAAATTGTTTCCTCGGGAAAACCAAATGCCACCGCCAGTGCCGAATTTGTTTTCGGCGATGTTGATTTGATGCTTCGCGGTGGAAACTCTTGCGGTGCCGTTGATCGAATGCACCGCTGATAGCTGAAATCGAGACGACCGTCAAATATCCGCCGCCGAATGTCGGCGTCGTTGATTTGATCGGTACAACTCTGACTTCTGAAAACGATGACGATCGTCAAATATCCACCGCCGTGCGATGTTGATTTGATCGATGCACCTCTAAATGATGAAATCAACGTGACCGTCAAATATCCACCGCCGGGCGGTGTTGATTTGATCGATGCACCTCTGACTTCTAACCAACAACGACCGTTACTACGGTTCGCACCTCTCCAAACTACGTTCGAACGAGGGTGTTTGAGTTTTGAGGAATCTACGCTACCGCTACTCCTATGGAGATTCCTGTGGAGAGCTCCGCGACTACGACTAAGACTACAACTACTACGACTCTGCAAAGGAGGTCTTTGACAGAGCAGTTCTACGAACTAGAGAGAAAAAGATAAATTCTGCTATGGTGCAGTTGTGATTTGATTTTGCCGTCTTGAACTTCTCTCTCTTCCCAATCTTTATACTTCGCTCTTCTCCCCGCAGTCGTAGTAACTGCCTACGCGCCTTTGTCTCCCACGTCGTCATTCCTGTCAACCGTGCAGGTAACTTCCTCCTTGTTGCGTAACTCCCACGAGTGCGAAACCGCTTGGACACGTGGCAACTTGGCCAAAACGACATTGAGCCGAAATCCACCATTGCTGAACTCTCGCCACTGCGACGTTGTTTTCTATTAAACAACATCGTTTCAGTACCGCGACGGTGTCGATATCTCCCACGATGTCATTTTCTGCTAAAGCGACATCGTCTTAACTGATCCTTAAAATATTAATTAATTAAACCGGCCATCATTGTTGACACGCCGTCAAACTCTCACTTCGCGGCGCCGTTCTTAATTAAACAGCATCGTTTTCTATTTCTGCGATGCTGTTGAACTTTGCGATGCCGCTTTGCATTTAGCACTATCGTTTTAACTACTGCGGCATCGTTTGGCCACTCGCGACATCGCTTTCAACTAATTTATACCACGCTAAAAAGCCATTAAAAATATTAAGTAATTAATCTGGCCAACACTAGTCCAACTCGTGTATTGACCAACGACATCATTAGCGCCAAAACGGCTCCGTTTGTTTTTCCTTCCGCGACACTGTTTATTATTAAACACTGTCGTTTGCTAGTATAGCGGTACCGTTGGGCTTCCTCGCGGTACCGTTTTTAATTCCGCGGCACCGTTTTAGCTCTCCGCGGTGCCGCTTCTCCCTATCCAACAAGGAAACAAATAATAATAATTAATTAGAGAAAATTCCTTCTTCAACACCCAGCTAAACGCGCGGCGCCCTTTTGGCAAACAGTGTCGTTTCTGATGCCGCGGCACCGCTGATCTTCCTTGCGGTACCGTTTCTCTGTTTCGCGGTATCGCTTTAACTCTCCACGACGCCGCTCGACTCCAAACGACACCGTTTTTTACCCGCGACATCGAATTAAATGCCGAGACTAATTAATGCGGCATTTAATTCCGGCCAAATTAATTTTAGGTGTCAACAAATGCCCTCCACAATTTGGTTTATAGGAAGTATGAACCAAATTGTTGACAAAATAGTATAACACCTAAAATACTTGGCTCCAAGTGTTAAACACAATAAACACGTAGGTCAAAGTTAGCAATGAAGTCTTTAATTACCACTTATATAATCCTCATGTATGGCCAAATGATTTTGGCCACCAGTATTGCGGCTAATTGCAACAACGCGGTCAAACTTTTCCTTTTTTTTTCTACCAGCGCTGCACGCATTAATTAACAATAATAATGATTTTATATATATATTATTTAAATTTCCACCAGGGCTGCTGCGGCAGAACTGGAAAAAAAAATATCATGCCTGGGGAAACAGCAGCAGGGCTGCATGATTAATTATTTAATTTTTTTTCCAGGACTGTTGGGAACAGCCGCAGGGCTGGAAAAACAAAATCTTTTTTTTTATCTTTTCCGCCAGAGCTGTTTGCAACAGTGGCAGAGCTGCATAATTTTTTTTATTATTATATTTCTTCCGCCAGAGCTGATGCGGCAGAACTGAATTTTTTTTTTCACGACTGAGGAAACAGCGGCCAGCGCTGCATGATTAATTTTATTAATTTTTTTTTTCTTCTTCAAGTCTGTTAGCGGCAGTGCAGAGAGCTTTTTTCCCCTATTTTTTTTAACCCTTGCAACCAGCTCTGATTTCCTTCTCACTCGCGTTCAACAGCCCTGTCAAACTGTGTTTTTTTTTCTAAAACAACTCTGATTTTCTTCTTTTCCTCCAACATTGCAGCAAGCTTTCCATAAACGCTTGGCCTCTTCTTTTTTTTTTTCGTCGTCCTTCTTTCTCAATGACGTTTCCTCCTGCAACACTGCAACCAATTGTAACAACGTTGCTTTGGCCCAAACAACTCTATCTATATCAATGCAAATTTCCGGCATTGAGGCCAAAACACTATTGTTCACAACAAGAACCATAATTGGTCTTTAATCCATTCTTATTTAACCATCATCGATAAAACAAAGAAGTAAAATAGAAGTTCTACTTTGTCGACGTAATGGTTAGTTAAACAACATAGTGACCTGCCCAAATTTTACCAATTCTGGTCAAAATAAAAATCACATACATAGTGTGACAAACCCCCCACTAAACTCCAACGGCCATGATCATGTTGGTACAACGCCGTTAGCATCGATGTTGCTCAGTACTTCACTTATTTGACAATCTGAGATAAAAATTAATAAATTGTCTAGCTAGCAAGACTGCAACATGCACATGCAGTATTTCATGACATTCACACATAAAACAATCTTTGAAGCCAATCAGAAGCAGAGTTAACTCGTACCTGTTAGATTCATTCAAGATGGCACTATGAAAGTTGAACGTGGATCCTCCTTCGCGCCAAGGTTGATTTCTTCCGCAATGTCGGCAACACTGCTTCCTTTCTCACTTCTTTACTCGAATCGTCGCCGTCGATCGGCAACCCCTCCAGCAAGGCCGTAATTTCGGCCTTCGCCACCCTCTCTTGAGGTGGCTTACTCAAATTTTGGTGGACCACCTAACGCAAGCATTGATGGTCTCACAATCTCGGACAACGATTTCAAGCATGCCTTACCTAACACCTTTGTGCTTGAAACTGCGACGTTGCATGGTCCCCCTTCCATACTCTTAATTTTTTGAGGACCAAGGTCTTTGTGGTACAAAAGAGTTTCGACAATGTTGCCCCCCACAACGTTGACCATATTGACGCCCACACCGTTGGGAAACGGGTCAGTGTCAACAATCATGGCCTCCTTCCTCGGCTCTGGGAACTTGAACCGACCTTTCTCAATTGCATCCTGCACAACATTGCGAAACACAACACACATGTTAGTTGAATGAGATGCATTGTTGTGCCATTTACAGTATCGTTTCCCTTTTAATTTTTTCAGCTGGCGGGATAGTATGCCCCCCAGTCAACTTAATTTGACCATCTTTGTAAAGCTGGTCGAAAATCAGTTCTGATTTTGAAACATCGAAGGAATATTTCCTAGTTTGAATCGGATTGGGCTTTCCACCTTGTGGTTCCCCCTCGGCCTTGGCTAGAGAAGCACACAAATATGGCTTCCCCTGCACAATCTCGGCCAAATCAACTTCAACCTCGTCGACATCGCTGCCGACGTTATTCACACCATAGTTTTCAAAATTAGGGAAATATTGTCCGCGAGAGCCACTTCTCTTATGTTCTTCTTCATGGAGAAGAGATTCATATCTAACAGCGCAGGACATCAATTGAAACAAATCAGAAAACTCCCTATCTTGAAACTTTTTATGAAGTTCAAAATTCAATCCACCCTGGGCCAGTTTAACAAACTCGCGTTCTGTCAAGTTCACAAAACAGCGATTCTTGCATTTTTAAAGTTCGTTAAAAAGTGTTCCACTGTTTCTCCTGGTTGTTGGCGCATTCGTGCCAAGTCTGCCATTGTCACTTCTGGCTCAGAACGGTAGAACTGGGCATGGAACATTTGTTCCATTTGCTGCCAAGTTTGAACCGAGTTCGATGGCAAGTTGACGTACCACGCGAATGCGGGACCGGTCAACGAGTTGCCAAACAAACGCAACTTCAAGAAATCACTCACATCACCACACTGAACCGTGAATCGTCCAACATGCTCGACTGATCCCCAGTCCCGCTGAAGGTAATGAAATCAGGCACGCGAAAACCACGTGGAAAGGGGTAGTATCTATCAACCCAATCCGGATATGGTTTTCGATACACCGGCGGCATCGCTGGTCTAATCCCTAAACCAAACTGATCCGCCAGCATCTGTGCTACTTGATCTCGAATCGCATTAACGTCTTGCCCCCCGAGTTGCCCCCCTTGTGGTACGAATCCACCAGGATCCATGCCAAGTCCGTTTGGAGGAGGAGGCACATTTTGTGGGTAGCCGCGTGGCGGAACATGATCATTGTTGATCGTTCCTCCACCACCAGCACCGCTCATCGAAGCCACGTAGGGTCTGGCCTCCGGAATATTTTGTGGACCCACATTGTGCACTAGTGGCGGCTCAACACGAGTGTTAGCCGCAGTGCTGGTCTCGCCAGGATTTACTCTAGACGGACTTGTTGGGTTCACCACCGGTGTCGGCGAAACGCCCTGTCTCGGTTGAGTATCTCGACCGCCATTGACCGGAAAGCTATTGGTGCCAGTGTCGTTGTGTAACGGATTCTCGCCGCTTAACGGCAAAGCCCTTGTTTGCGGCACTGGCATATTCAAAAACTCTCTAAAATCATTAAAATCACGTATGTTACTTTCAAAATCCATTCTGTTTTTATCTACGACTTCAACCAGTTGGCTAACACGTCTATCAATCCGAGAACTAAGACCATCAAGACGTCCATCCAAAGAGGCTAAGTGAAGCTTTACCTGTTGGTTATCAGAAATAGAGTCGTCCAACTTATCAAACCATTGATCTATGTTTTTTTTAAGATTATCCATTTTTTTATTAAGAGAAGTTAAAATGAGATTTACCTGTTGGCTATCTCTGCTGAGTTCAACCACTACTTGGCGGAGTATGCGCAACATCTCACCCCGATCGGAGATTCGTGTCACTGATTGCACCTCCGCTCCAGCGTTGTTGCTTGAATCGCCAACATCGTCGTCAATCTCGATGTTGATCAATTGAGCCTCCGCCATGGATCCTTGTCGAAGACCACAATCTTCTTTTCCTCGTCGCAGAGCCATGTCAAACACACGTGTCCCACCAGGTGTGCCAAATTGTTTCCTCGGGAAAACC